ACAACCTCCATTCCCTCCCCACTCCAAAAATCCCCATTACTGCAAAATCACCATTTCCTCACAATCAGCTGGGACTCGGGAGGCAGAGAATAGATGGGGGCGGGGCCAGTCAGAGGTGGTATTTCGCAATTCTACTCAGAATTTCCTCTACCAGTTCTCCAGAACTGGTCAGAACCTGCTGATTATCACCTCTGATTTGAAGGGCTGTCACATGGAAGTGAAGGTCAATTTATTCTCCAAGGCACCTAGGGCAGGCCAAGAAGCAATGGGTGGATGATAGTCAGAGAGTGATCCAACCTGGAACTAAGGAAAAACTTCCTGACAGTGAAAACAATGAGCCAATGAAACAGCTTGCCCTCCAGGGGGTGTGAGAGCTGCCTATTTGTATTTTCAATAAAATATTGGACAACCATTTGTCCAGGATGGAATATGAATTCCTGCCTTGAGCAGGGGGTTGGCCTAGAACAGTGTTTCTCAACCTTGGCAACTTGAAGATGTCTGGACTTCAACTCCCAGAATTCCCCAGCCAGCGAATGCTGGCTGGGGAATTCTGGGAATTGAAGTCCAGACGTCTTCAAGTTGCCAAGGTTGAGAAACACTGCACTATAGTAATTTTTTTTTAAAAGGTAAAGGAATCTCCGCAGATTTTATTCTGCTAGTGATTGCCGACTATAGGGGGCAGTTCTCATCTCAGTTTCAAGGCCATTAAGCCATGTCCAAAGACATTTTCCTAGTCATATGGCCAGACTGATGTCATGGCGCGCTGTTACCTTCCCACCATAAGGAGAACACTGTTGACTCAGTGGCTCAGCGGTTAAAACACTAGGCTTATTCTTGTCAGCTGGAAAGCCAGTAGCCCAAGTTTGAGACCCGAATGACACATAACAGGGTGAGCTCCTGTCGTATCCCCAGCTCCTGGCAACCTAGCAGTTTGAAAGTATGTAAATGCAGGTAGATAAACACTGGGAAGGTAACATTAGTACTGTGTGTGGCCATAATAAATAAATAAATACTTGGCAGGAGGCAAACTACTATGAATTATTGTGAAGCATATGGAAGCATCTTATTATAAACCAGTGATGCTGGATTACATACCAATTGACTGCAAAGGAATTTGTGGTTACCAAGACTTAAGCTTTGGTTATTTGGTAGAGCTCTACTTCGTTCAACCCCGCATATTTTCAGGTAATTCAGGTAATTCCAGAGTATATCTGCCTTCTGGAATGAAGTTCACCCCCAGATTCAAATGAACCCCCAGCCTACTGGCATTTTGAAAGGCTCCGAATACCTGGCTGTTCACCCAAGCATTTGGATTGCACTGGTTTTTTTAATTTGTTCCCCTCTGATTTTGTCATTTTTTTGTGTTTTACGTGTTTTGATTTGCAATCCATCCAGATACATTCAATAAGTTATTATGATTGGTCGCTCAGTCAGTTCTGTAGACTGGATTTGGCACTTTGTCCATCTATCAGGTCTTTCCCAGGTTGTTTTTTTTTTGATGGTGCTAAAGGTATTATTTCAGGGTGTAAACTGCATTTTGCAACTGATGGACGGTGATTTTATCAATGCTGATGGTGTTCAAGTGGTTCTCCAGATGTTTTGGAATTGCACCCAAGGCACCTGTTATTATGAAACTTATCTTTTGTTTTGCCAGTCATTCTATTTCTATTTGCAGGCCTTTGTACTTTGTGATTATTTTTCCTCCAGTTCTTTCTCTTCTTTTCTCTTCTGCTCTCCTCGGGTGCTATCCAGACTTTTTTTTTAGTTTTCTTATCTACAATCATTAAGTCTGGTGTTGCACGACAGATGCTTATCTGTTTGAGTGCCAAAATCCCAGAGCACTTTCTTTCTTCATTTTCTATTACTTTATCTATTTTGTGGTCTCGCCAGTTCTTGCTTGCAGACAAATGATATTTCTTTCAGATATTCCAATGCACTATTGCTGCTACT